GGCGGAGTGCTGCGCGAGCGGCGCGGAGCGGTGAATGCTGCAACGCAGCTCGGGCGCTTCTTCGCAGCGCGCCTTTGGAATAGCCCGCGAAAGCGCGAATGCGTCGGTGTAGAAGCTCGTCTGCTGCGGCTTGCCCGCCAGCGCCGCGTCGAGCAACTCCTGCAGACAGCGCGCGAGCGCCGGCAGTCGCGCGAGCCGCGCGACGATGTTCTGCGTCCGCGCGATGGTCGCGGGCGCGCGGTGATCGACGAACGCGAGCTTGCTGGGCGAGTAGGCGAAGTCGGCGTGCGTCTGGCCGGCGTACAGCAGTTGCAGCGCGTCGAGCAGCGCGGCGCGCGCGCCCGCGGCACCGCGGCCGCTGCTGAGTTGCAGCGACTTGCAGGGACTGGCGGCGACGCAGGCCGCGCCCGCTTGGCTGAAGCGCTGCGGCGTGCCGCGCTCCGGGTTGTGCGCGTCGAGTCGGCGCTTTTGCCGCGCAGAGGCCGGCGGCGTGTCGCAGAACGGAAACTGCGGCGCGTCCGCTACGGCGGAGGCGTTCGCTGCGGAGAAGCGCTCGCGCAGCGGGCGCTCCGGGCCGCGCAGCTCTGCGCGTTCCGCGTCGCTCGGCGGGCTCGCGTGGCGGAAGAGGGGGCTGCGCGCGTCGAGCGCTGCACGGGGGCGCGCGTCGCGATCACGCGCCGCGCTCGTCGGCAGGTTCAGTTCGCAGGGTTGATCGCAAGGGTCCGACATCGCGGAGTGGGGCCGAGAGCTGCATAAGCGGGCGCAATATTCGAAAATTCCCTTAATTTCGGATGCGCGGCCATGGCTTCGAATTCGCAGCACTTGGCGGCGTTTGCAGCGTGCAAGCTCTTGGTCGCGTTTGAGGCGGCGCTGAACTCGCTGAAGCGCGAGGAGCTGATCACGCGCGCTGCGGCGCGCAAACTGCTGGAGGTATCGCAGAAAGTAGGTTTCGCGCGCGCGTCGCTAGACGTTCTTGGAGTGCTTGTCCAGCGGCAGTTTTTCGCGACCGGACCTGGAGCTGAGCGGGCGGCTGAAGGCCTACCGCGGCATCCAGTCGACTTGGCAGTTGTGGGTGGACGCGCAGTCGCTGGAGCTCGGCAAGGGCGCGCCGCTGCCAATGCCGAGCAAGTTGCGCGTGCACCTGCTGGACGTCAAGCCGCAGAAGGAAAAAGGCATGAAGTTCAAAATTTACCAGGACTGACTAGAGATCGGCGAGGTCTACCTCGGCATCTGATTCCGCTGCGCTAGGCGCGGAGTCGATTTCGCAAATGTTGTGGTCTGCGGGCCGCGCGCGCGCGGGCAGCGGGCGGTCGTCGAGTGCCGTGCGCAGCACCATGGCGCGCTTCAGCGGCTTCATGCGCTCTTCTTTGCATTTGTGGCGCTCGCGGTTTTCCTCTTTGCGCTTCTCGGCCTCGCTCATCGCGTGGCGCTTTTTCACCTGGTTGTGGATGTACTTGGGCAGCTGGCGCTTCGTCAAGATTTTGTTGACCTCCGGAAAGCTTTTGTAGCGGTCTTTCAGCGCCTCGCGGTACTGCAGCACGCGCTGCTCGCGGCTACCGACGGTGCGCTCGAGCATGCTGGCCTCGCTCTTCCACACGCGCACATTGAAGTCCGCACTGCCGGTGAGCAGGTACTTGGCGTCGTGCGTGTAGCGCACTTGCAGCACCGCCTGCATGCGCTTGTTGTGCAGCACTTCGCGCGCGCGGCGCGACTTCAGCGGCCAGATGCGCACAGTTTGGTCGAAGCTGCCGGCGACGAGTTCACGGCCGGTGGGGCTGTAGCTCACGTCGAGCGCAGCGTTGACGAAGCCCGGGTAGACGGCTTTCGCGGCTGCGAAGTTGCGCAGGTCGAACGCGTAGACGTTGGAGTCGTCGTTTGCGATCGCGAACTCAGACGGCTGCATGGGGTTGAAGCTGACGGCGTTGCTGCGGCGCGTGAGGTAGACTTTCTGCACGGCGTTGCCTACGCGCAGGTCGAAGAGCGTGACTGCGTTGTCGAACGCGGTGCCGACGAACAGATTCGGCTCCGAAGGACTGTACTTGACTGCGACGTACTGGTCGTTGCCCCACTTGAACGAAGAGACCGCCTCGCCGCGCGCCGCGTCCCATAACTCGACGACGGCGCCGCAGGTGAGAAACTGGTTCGCGGCGGGGCTGTGGTCGAGTCCGCTGACGAGCCCGCCGCAGGTGAAGGTGAATTGCGGCGCGGTGCAGGCCTGCGCGTCCACGGCGAAGCCGAGCGCCGCGTCCTGCAAGTCGCCAGCGGGCATGTTCGCGTTGAACAGCTCGGAGGTGAGCGGGAAGTTTTTCTCAATGAGCCACTGCTTGACGGTGCCGTCCTGACCCGCACTGTACAGCAATGTGTCGTCGCAGTTCGTCGCGAGCGCGTTGATAAAGCCGTCGTGCGCGTTCTTCACGCTGCGCAGACAGCGACGCGAGGCAATGTTCCAGTAGCGAATCTCGCCGTCGCAGCTGCCGGAGAAGAAGTCTTCGATGCTGTTGCGGTAGAGACACAGGCTTTTCACGCTGTCGGTGTGGCCACTGAAGGCCGCCACGAACGGGCGCGCGAAGTGTCGCTCGAGCTTGCTGGCTTGCAGCGCGCGCTGGTACTCGCGCATCTTCCACATCGGCTGCGCTTCGACGTCGCTCTGCCTCAGCAGCAGCGAGCCGGTGAGGTTCTCTCGGAAGATTTTCTCATTGCGCGAGAGCAGTCGGATTTTCATGGCTGCTACGCGCAGAAGGAGTTGCGCGGGTCTCGAGCGAGGACGCTGCGAAAACGCAATAAAAAAATACAGAAACTCTCTTTAAGCACTGCCGGCCGCGGCGGCGCTGGAAGCGGCTGTTAGCAAGTTGCCGGTCAGCACGCTTTCCGGCGAGAGCTCTGGAGCGGCGTGAGCGCGCGACGGCGGCGCGGCGGCTGCGCTGCTCGCAGCCGGAAACACGCGCGCGAGGTCGATCTGCGGAGGCGCGGCGGTCGATACGAGCACGTCTTCGTCAACCGTGCGGCTGCGAAACAACGTGACGTCGATCATCTTGTAGTACCTGCGTACGCGCGCGCGCGCAACTTACGTGCGTTCGGACTCGTCTGCGAAGCAGAGGCTCAAGCAGTGGCGCAGCGAGATGAGGTTCTCCAGGTTCGAGAAACTCGCGTCCGCTGCTGCCGTGTGCAGCGGCAATTGGATGGGCACTATGGCGCCTGCGGCACGATCGGCGACACTTACCTTTGCTAGGCGTGCCGAACACGAGTTGGTGCTCGAGCAGCGATTTGTCAAACTTCGCAGCTTTGCCGTCTGCGGCCGGCGAGGCCGTCTCGGCGTCTGACTCTCCGAGTGCGCCCATCAGTTCGACCTGCAGCAGCTTGATGAACGCACAGCGCAGCCGCACGTTGACGTACTTAAACTCGATGCTCCCGCGGATCTGTCCGCACACGTCGAAGCAGCTGCTCTCAAGCCGCAGCTCTGCCTTCAGACAGTCCTGAATGCCGATATCGACGGTCAGCGGGCGCGGTGGCGCGGCAGGCGGCTGCGGATTCAAGATGCGCAGCTCGCACTGCGCGGAGCAGCTGGCGGCCTGCAGACGGCTAAACGAGACTTCGAGCGTGTAGACAACATGGGCGCGGTGCCCGCTGTAAGAGCTGTGCGCTGCGTCGTAGTCCTCGATGAGCAGTTCGACGACGTCGTTGCACTTCGGGGCGTAATTCTCGACGGCCGTGCGCGAGACGAAAAAAAAGTTGCACAGCGCGCCTGCGCGCTTCAGCGCGGGAAACACGGCGCCCGAGAGTTTGTAGCGCAGCGTGCCGCGCTCGGCGCGGTCTTTCGCAGTCGAGACGATGAGCCTCGCGCGGATCGGTTCCTTGTTGAAGTAGAAGTCGCGCCCCATCGGGTAGAGCGGCTCGAGAGCCAGCTCGACGTTGTCGCCGGACTTGAAGAAGCTGGAAAACTGCGTGCGCGGCACGGCGACTTACCATCTCCGAAGTTTCTCCTCGCCAGGCTGGCTAGAAATTAAATTATAATTCGAATTCTGATCGAATGTAAACGCGCAGCCATCCGAGCGGATGCGAAACGGCGAGTCGGCCGCGCAAAAGGCGCGCCACGTGCAGGTTGCGCTGTTTAAGCGCGGTGACAAGGCCGAGCCGCGCAGCGGCGATGCGCAGGAACAGCGCCAAGCCGCGAGCAGCGCGGATCTCGAGTATGAGGACGCGCGAGCGGACGAGGCGCAGCTGCACGTGCGCCGCGCGGACGACGCGTTCGACTTTTCGTCTTCGGACGAAGACCTCAACGCTGCAGCCGTGCGGAAGCTCAGCGGCGAAACCGAACTCAACAGTTTGACGATGGCAGTGACGAGCGAAAGAGTGAGCAGCCTTTCGCGCGAGCGGCGCCCGACAAACTGGGTCTCGGACTTCAACATCACCTCTTTCACGAACAATATGTCAGAGTCATTCGACTTTTTTCTTGTGATCAGCTTTGGTCACAAAAGCTCTTTGGCGCGGCCGGTGTCGGCGGCGCAGCGGATTCCGCACAGCGTCGACCTTGCGCAGAACCGCGGCCCCAAGCGCAGCGGCGGGTGCGAGTGCTTCTTTTCGCCCGTGTATCACGCGACTGCGGCGGACGTCTTCTGCCTGGCCGCGCCGCTGGACGTGTGGTCGCGGCGCAAGTTTTTCCTGACGCCGCGGCAGCTGACCGAGTACGTGGTGTGCATCGAGATGTGGAGGATCAGCGCGTGGACGTTCAACCGCTTCTGCGGCAGCGTGCAGGTCCCGCTGAGCGCGTTCAACAACAGCGGCTTCTACAGCTCTGTCAACATCATGAACGAGGGGAACTCGGTGTTGCATTTGACGTGCTTGACAAACCTCGACTGCTTCTACAAGCTAGACGTGCAGCTCTCGAACTTCACGCTCAACTATTTTTCGATGAACGACGTTGCGAACGATGTGTCGCGCTACCGCCGTAAGTTGCTGCGCGCCGTGAGCAGAAAAGCTGTGGAATACCTCGACATTCAACCTGGAGTTTCATTACCCCGCGAACTGCGCTCGCAGCGGGAAAAAGGTTCTGCGCAACGTGACGCAGCTCGCGAACGCTGAATGCGCCTTCCAGTTTTGCGGGACACTCGACGACTTGCGGAACGCCTCTGTGCAGGTCTCGATGTTCTACAAAAATCGCTCATTCGGCGTGAACAACATGACGCACCTCGGAGATGGAAACTACAATCTCTCGGGCTACGAAGAAAGTCCGTACGTCGAGTTCGCTTTGTTGGGGCGCGACGCGCAGAGCGCGCTGGACGTTGCGCAGCTCCGCGGCACGATGAGCGTGCACTGCAACGGCACGTTCATAGGAACGATGTCTGCGCTAGAAAACTTTAAAACGTACCGTGCGGACGTGTCCGGCGACCGCGCGCGCGGCGCGAATTTGCGGCAGATCGTAACCCCGTCGTACTTTTTGCGGAACGTTTCGGGCAACGAGATCTACCTGGTCGCGCGCGTGTTGGAATTCTCGAGTCCGACGCACGCGAACGCGTCAGTGTGCTTGAGCTTCAGGTTTGACAACATGGTCTTCAGCACTACTGTGAGCGGCTGCGTGATTTTTCCGATTCGTTTGCTGAACAAGGAGTGGCTGCGTGAGAACTGCCTAAAAGCTGCGCTCGTGCGCGAGAAACGTCGCGGCTCTAGACGCATCGGCCGCGAGAGTCGCGGATCGTACTACGAAACCAACCTGCTGGCGGAAGAGCTGGCTATGCGGGGCGAGCTGCAGGTTTTCGCGTTCCTGAACGACAACCAGTTCCTTGGCTCTGCCGCGCTGAGTCTCGCGAAAATCAACACGGGCAAACCGGAGCAACTGTGTTTGCTGCAACAGCTGGACGAGAACTCTTCGACGAAGACGCAGCTGTACGCCGTTTCGAACCGCACTAAGCACCTGTTCGCGCGGCTTCCCGCCCGCGTCGAGCGCTTCTCGCTGGAGCTCGCGAACGCCGACGCGCACAGTGCGGCTGTGCGGCCCGAGAAAAACGTTGTAAAGCTGGCAGCGTACTTCTTTCCTTCGCTGCCGTCGGATCTCGTGCTGCCGGAGCGCAGTCCCGCGCAGTCGAACGAAGAGAAGGCGTATAAGGCGATGCGCGTGCGGTGGCAGATCGACGCGCTATCCTGGACGCGGTCCTACTTGCGCTTCTTTCCGGAAGCTTCGATGCTCGAGTTTTTTCCGGCGTTTCACGCCTCGTTCGACGGCTCGCTCGCGCCGCTTTGCGCGTTTTTGTCGAAAGTGCAGCACTGCGAGATCAAGACGCCGGCTCTGATGTTCAACGTCGTGGCTTCCTTCCCGTTTTACGCAGGCCACGCTCGCGAGTTCCACCGGCTGCCCGTGTTTTTCCAGCAGGGTTGCGGGAACGCGATCGACCACGCGAATTTGCTTGCGTCATTCTTCCTGGATGCCGAGCTAGACGCGTACGTGGCGATCGGCTCGGCGCTGCACGAAAAAGAAGAGCCGCACGCCTGGGTGATCACGCGGAACCCGGACCAGAGCGTCACGTTCTGGGACCCGTTCTTTTTCGAAGTGTTCACGCTTCCCGCGCGCTACGGCTTTGACCAACGCAAGCCGGACGTCGACTTCATCGAGTATTCGCCTGAGGGTCATTACACGAACGAGGAAGAGACGCGAACGTACGCAGACGGCCGCTTCCTGTGCGATTATTACAATAACCTGGCGGGGCTGAACGGGTTCTCGCTGACAGACTATCCGCTGCGGGAGTACGTGGAAGTCACGCTAAACGACAATTTGGACGAGATCGAGGCCGACTTGTACAACTTGGTGCAGCCGCAGCCCGCTGCCGCGAGCGCGAAAGAAGCTGCGCAGCCGGTGGACGCGGAGACGCGCCAGGAGATCATCGACAGGTGCTTGGAGCGGCAAAAAATTCCGTTGGCGCCGGTTCCGCGGCTGACGGAGTTTGAGTACCGCGCTTTTGCGCCGTATCCGAACCTGAACGTGGTGTACAACAACGCGAACGTGTGGCGCAACGTGCAAAACACGGACCCGACCGTAATTTACTACGACTTCGAGAGCCCTTACCAGTGGGTGGCACTGTTTGGCGACGGCGAGCAGCCGCCGCCGGCGCTCGACGAGAAGGTCACGATTTTCCCACCGGTTTCTCAGCGGACGCTTACGTTGCGCGACGAGGCGTTCCGCGCTCAGATTGAAACCATTCTGCATAAAACGCGCTACCGCAAAGGCTTGGAGGTGAGCTTCGTGCAAGATTCGCAGATAAGCAACATTCTGAAGAACATTTGCGTGAATCTGCAGCAGTACTGCTGCTTGGACAAGCGCTTCGACCTTGGCTCGCACCGCGGGAACAACAACTTCACGCGAACTGCGTACTTCAAGATGTTGCAGCAGCTGGAAGGCACGCACTACCTGAGCGAGCTGCTGAACGACGCAGAGCGTCGCCTGGCGAGCGAGGCGTCGCAACTGCAGCCTGTGAAGCGCCGGGGGCGTCGCAAAGCGCAGCGTGTGCAACACAGCAAGAAAGAGCTGAGTCAGCTGAAGGTGTTCAGCGCGGCGCAGCGCGGGTCAGACGCCCGCGCAAGCTGCGAGTTCGACGCAGCCGCGTTCAGGGTCGGGCAGGCGTGGTTCCGCAGGGTGGGCGAGGCCGCGCGCGACCCAGAGTTCGAGTCTGACGAGAGCCCGAGTTCTTCTGCGTTGTCTAGCGGCGACGAGGCGCCGCCGCGTGTCCCGTCGCCGAGCTCGGGCGCGCCCGGGCTGCACTTCGTGCCGGGGCACGGTATGTACGAGCCGTTCAACGACTATGCGAAGCTCACGCAACAGATCAAGCAGGCCGCGCAGACAAACGGCGCGGAGGAGACGAACTTTTTCAACGCCATTAAACAGGTGGTCGCGCCCGAACAGCCCGAGGGCGCAGAAGGCGCAGCGGCGAGCGGGTCGCCGGCTGCGAACGAGGAGTCTGGCGCGGCAGCGGCGGCGAGCGACGCGGCGCAGCGCGCAGCAGCGGAGCGGCAGAGCGTGCTAAAACAGTTGGTGGGCGACGAGGAGCTTGGAGAGGGCAAAAAGAAGTTGAAGAAGTTGCGAGACCTGATGCAGGGTCGCTTTCCGTACTTCCACCACTTCGTGCCGGCGCGTGGCTCGCGCGAGGCGGAGTACTACGAGAGCCAGCAGCAGCTCTGGGCACGCTACTACGCGTTCGAGACCGCGCTGTACCGCTGGCAGAAGCGCGAACTGCCGGTGCAGGCCGGCGACGTGCTGCTGGTTTTCGCGTTCCGCATCAGCAGCTTCAACGTGCTGATCAACCTGAGCGAGGCGCTCGAGTCGCAGCAATTGCTGGCGTTGGCGGAGGAATGCACGAAGAGCATGAAAGTGTGCGTGCAAGTCTACTCAGCGAGCTTCCCGAGCGGCGTCATCAACACCTGGATCGCGTTGTACGTCCACATTATGCAAGAGTAGCCGCGTTATGTCTAGCTAAATTTCAGAAATAATATGTCGAAGTACATTGCCAAGGCCGACTTCCAGCACATTCTGCGCGTGCTGAATACCAACATCGACGGCACGCGCAAGGTCGACATCGCGCTCACGGCTATCAAGGGCGTGGGACGCCGTTTTGCGACGATAGTCTGCCGCAAGGCGGAGGTCGACGTGACGAAACGCGCCGGCGAGCTCAAGGAGAAAGAGATCGAGCTACTCACGAGCATCATCAGCAGTCCGCAAGACTTTGACATTCCCGAGTGGATGTTCAACCGCCGTAAAGACATCCGCGACGGCAAGAGCAAGCACTTGACTTCTTCGCAGGTCTTCTCTGCGAAGCGCGACGACCTCGAGCGCTTGAAGAGGATTCGCAGCAACCGCGGGTTGCGCCACTTCTGGGGCTACCGCGTCCGTGGACAGCACACGAAAACCACGGGCCGTTACGGACTGCATGCGCATTTGGCGCAGTTGAAGAAGTAGGCGCAAACGGCTAACGGGCCGTTGCGGGCATTAATGCGATCTTTTGTAAAATATATTTTCGATCATGGACGCGCTGTCCTCAAAGAGCGAAGGCGTAAAAACCTTCACCACGTCGGAAGGGCAATTTGTGGCTGGCCCCGACGATCTGTTGGGGCAGGGAACGTACGGCACGGTTTACCGCGTGCGTAGCGCGACGGACCCGACGGTGGAGCGCGCGGTGAAAGTCTTTACGCCGGAGACGGTTGACTCGAACGAGGGCATTCCGTGCACGACGCTACGCGAGGTGAACGCGATAAAGAGCATCTGCCACCCAAACGTGATGTCGATCCAGGAGGTAGTCGTGCCAGACAGCGGGAACTTGAACGACATGTACATCGTGATGGAGCTCTGCCAGGGCACGCTGCGCGACCACGTGAACGAGCTCATCAAAACGCACCTAAAGGGCAGCACGCGTTGGGTCGAGCCGAAGCCGCGGGACTCGCTGCCCGCGGAGTACGTGCGCGAGTGCAAGTTAATCGCGTGGCAGATTCTGAACGCGGTCGCGGTCTGCCACAGCCGCGGAATCATGCACCGCGACCTGAAGCCGGCAAATATTTTGTGGGGAAAGGAGGGCCTTATCAAGATAGCAGACTTCGGGCTCGCTCGCTTTGTGCGCGGCAAAGCGCTCTCGCCGGAACACGTCGTGCCGCAGACCGGCGAAGTGCAAACGATGTGGTACCGCGCGCCGGAAATTTTGCTGGGCGACGACCGCTACGGCATGCTCGTGGACGACTGGTCAGTTGGCTGCGTGATCGCTGAAATGTTCCGCTTCCGCGTGAGTGTGAGCAACAAGCGCGTCGAGCCAGACCCGATTTTTCCAGGCCGCGGCGACGTGCACACGCTAATGCTGGTGCTCGAGTCGCTTGGCACGCCCACCGACGAGTACACGAGCGAACTGCCTTTTTTCTCTTCGCATTTCCCAAGCTGGACGAGCGGGAACTTGCGCAAGAAGTTGCAGCTGCTCGACGACGACGGCTTCAACCTGATCTCGAACTTGCTAGTAATCTCGCCCTGCAAGCGCTCCTCTTCGCGCTACTTGCTCACGCACCCGTGGTTCAATGACGTAAAGCCGTACTTGCGCGAGTACGTGCCCTGGTACCGTGGCTGCGAAAAAAACCTTCTGCGGCTGCTCGAAATCGACCGCTTGCCGAAGGCCCGGCCGATTCCGTCAAAGTACGAGGAAAAGGAGCGCGAGAAAGAAAACTTCAATCCCGGCAACGTTGCGGCCTAGCGTCGCGCGCTAATTTTCAAATTTTTTAAGTGATCACCGTCGATGATCGGCGTCAGCTACGACGAGCTGCGCGCGTTCGACGTGCGCCGCGTAGACCAGTTCGTGCGCAAAATCAAGCAGGAGGAACTGCCGAAGTTCGCCAGTCTGTCGTGGTGCCTAACGGGACGCGGCGGCGTGACGACACTGCTCGCGGTCGGCTCGCTGTTGCTGTTTTTTTCGCTGCTGCTGTTCACGCTCGCGAGCGAGCAGCGCGTGACTGTGCCCTACCGCGAGAATTGCAACGAGTACAATTTTTTCGTGAAGGAAGACATGGAGGGCCCGCTGCTCGTCGGCGTCCTGCTGGACAACTTTTACAGCAACGTGCGCAAGTACGTGGACAGCCAGAGCGAGTATTTCGTCGGCACGTGTGCGGCCGCGGCGAGCGTCGGCGACGTTTGGCGCGTGCGCCCGCGCGAAAGTTTTCCGGAGCTCGCGGCGTTGCCGGACAGCGCGCCGTTTTCGCCATGCGGACTGCAGAGCGCTGCGTTCTTCAACGACGCCTTTGAGATCTCGGACGCGAGCGGCAAGCGCATCGGCATCGTTTCGGAGACGGCGCAGCCGCACTTCCAGCTGCTGCGCTACTACAAAAAGCTCGCCGGACCGCTCTGGGCGGACGCAGTCGTCTCGCCGCGGCTGCAGAACTGGTACAAGCACCAGTTCACGCCGCGTTTCTTTTTTCCGCTGGGCTTCCTCGACTTGCACTACTTCCACGCTGGCTACTACACGCTGCACTTTGCGCAGAACGTCTGGCCTGCGCAGCATTTCCGCGTCTCCAAAACGGTCGCGATCCTCGCCGTCGGGCCGCTCGGCAGCAACCAGAGCTTCGCAGCGACGCTGCTCGCCGCGATAGGCGCGCTGCTCGTCTTCACCGCAGTGATCTTCCGCATCGCAATAGAACGCAACATCGTGTACCCCGGCATCAATTTCCACGAGATGCAGAAATTGCGGCAGCTTTGGCTGCGCGAGAAAAACGACCTGCACGCGCTGAACAAGCGATGGCTGAGTGCCAAATCCGGAAACGGCGCCAAAACCTAAACCTTGCCCGATTCCGCTGTTTAGTCCGCTGCGCAGAAACGCGCCGTCGCCTCTTCAATGTTGAAGTTACCGAGAAACAGCGTGCAAACTTGCTGCCGAAAAGCTGCGCCGCGCAAAGTGGCAGTCGCGTTGCTGTGCGAATTTGCTAGCGGCAGCACGATAACGTACGGGTTGAATCTATGGCGAGTCGGAACGCCGGACCGACAAGATGGGAGCTAATACTTCCGTTCGACAGCCTCGCATCGGCAGCGCTGTGCGACATTGTGAAAACTACGCGCCGAAATGGCTGCGTCATGACGCTGACTTCGTTGACTGCAGAGCAGCGAGGCAATTGCAACAAGTGACTTTAGGGGTTGTGTTGCAAATTATGCAGTTACTGGTGCGCGACTTCGCTACAGAACGCGCGGGAAGTACAGCTCCGAGAGCTTTTCTCCGTTTAGCGCACTGGGTTGCGACGTACAGTTGTGCATCTGACAGCGCGTGGTGCGCGCGAAGCGTTCCACGGCCGCAGTAGCTTCTAAGCGATCTTCAGCGCGGTGCCGACAGACGAGGTCCTCGGGACTCACACGAATCTCAGTTGCGGGCTCAGCGGTTGCAGTCCAACAAGTTTTCCTAAACAAGTCGAGCATATTCAAAAAAGCACGCAAGGCATGGCGCGGACCCGTTCAAGCGCCGACACATTTTAAGTGTGGAAAAATCGGTCTGTTGGTTATTCGCAGAGAATATTGTAAATAACACTTTTTCACACTAAAAGGAAGAATGATCGGACTCGCTTCGCTTTTGCTACCAGCGCTGCTGACGGCGAAAGACTTCAGCAAAGAATTTGCAAAGATGCAGAAGAGGTAAGTGGCGCACGTGCGCACGCAGCGGCCAGTACGGGCTCGTGCTTGAGTACCCCGCAACGCTGAAAGAATCGAGCTCGCCGCAGCTCGATCGCTTCATCGACCTGATTGAGAAGATCAACGTGGTGAACTTAATGGAAAGTGACCAGTTTAAGGTCAGCTTCGTTTCGCGACGCCAGATCAACTCGTTTGAAGACTTCGACAACAACGAAGGGCTGCAAAGCTTCCTCGACACGAACTACCGCATTGGCATTGAGGAAGCGTTCAGCGAGCTGCAGGAGAAAACGCAAAACCCGAAATCGCCTCAAGATGAGGCCGACGCGCCGGCCGAAAAGCTGCCTGCTGACGGCGATTGCGACGGTGCCGACTGCGCGCAGTCAGTTGATTGCGCAGAAGACGATGACGCGGAGCACTGCGCCGAGAAAGGCGACGCTGAAACTTCCGATGCTCACAAAGCGGCTGCCAAAAAGACGACGGCAGGCGTAGCTGACGCGCAAGAGACTGCTGCTAAGAAGGCTGATGCTCAGAAGCCCGCCGCCAAACAGACTGACGCCAAAAAGTCTGACGCCCAAAAACCTGCCGCCAAGAAGGCTGACGCCCAAAAACCTGCCGCCAAAAAGGCTGACGCCCAGAAGCCTGCCGCCAAGAACGTTGATGCAAAGGAAGACGGCGCTGTGAAATCGCACGAGAAGAAGGCGAAAGACGCCGGAGCGTCAAAGCAGAAGTCCGCCGCGGACAGCAACAGCAAGAAGGCCGGCGCGAAGAAGACGAAGTCTGCTAAACCCAGAAGCGGCAAAGGCGTGATCAGCCTCACCGCGAAGACGCTCAGCAAAAAGGTTCTGAACGACAGTGAACACACTTGGCTGGTCCTCTTCTACGCGCCCTGGTGCGGACACTGCAAGAAGTTCCACCCCATTTGGAACACCGTGGGGTTGAAGGCTCCCTCGTACTTGAAGATCGCAAAGATTGACGGTGACGCTCACAAGAGTGCCGCGCAGGCCATTGGTCTGCAAGGCTTCCCGACCGTCAAGATCTTCCCGCCGGGCACCAAGTCGCTTTCGGACAGCGTCTCCTACGAGGGTGCGCGCGAGGTTGACCAGATTCTTGCCGCCGGGCGCTCGCACATGTCCAACCACCTGAGCGTGCTGAAAACTGCCTCCCTTAAGCAGCTGCAGCGCCAGTGCAGTGAGGGCGCCTGCCTGGTAATGGTCAGCCCTAGCAGCCGCGAAGCCGCAGACGCAGAGTTGCTCGCCGTGGTGCGCGCTAAGGTCAAGCGCGTGAGCAGCAAGATCATTCACGTGCGCGCCGGCGCAATTCCCGCGCTCGACAGCGCGCTCGGCGCCTCGAGCTCGCAGCCTGCCCTCGCTTACCTCAGTTACAAGCAGAATCTTTTCGGCAAGCTCGAGAAAGACGTGACTGCAGAGAGCGCAGAAGAGTTTTTCCGCAACGCACCGGCGAACAAGAACACGTTTGCAGAGATTCCCGATCAGCTCGCAGTCAGGGCCGACGAATTATGAGATTAACTCTTTTTATTTAGCCGTGAATGAGCTATGACTTCGGCAGCGACGCAGAATTGACCGCGCTTTTCGCGCAGCTCGCCAAGGCCGCGGGCGTCGCGCGCTCAATCGTCGAGGACAGCAGCCCTTGGCACTATCTCGCGCACGCGACGCCGAGCTGGATGCGCCTCGGCGCGTTGCGCGCCGAGCCAACAGACCCGCACGTCGAGCTGCGCACCGGCGGCGACGCACTCCTCGAATTCACGCTCAGTTTACCCGCGGCCGCCGCCAAACATCTTAAGCAAGGCTCGCGGCTTGTCGTCGCCAAAAAGCAGTGGCGCGCGACCGCGAGTGCGCAGCACGTTCTGCCCTGCTTTGACTTCCTCGCGGCGCTCAACGGTTGTCTGCCAACGCTCCAGCTGCGCAGCGACCGCGCGCCGAGCGCGCAGCAGTTCCGGTTTCTCAGCCACCTGTGCGCAGACGACGCAGAGGCGAAACTGCTGGGGCTGCTCGAGCTGCTCAACCCCGCTGCAAACCACGCGAGCGTCCACGTGCGCGTCTTCGCAGAGCAGCGCGTAGTAGCTTCGCTGCTCGTGACGCCTGCGGAGCGCGCGCTCGTGTTTCTATCGCTTCTGAACGCCGTGCTCGTGCATCCGCGCTTTGAAGTGTGTGCGCCGCGGCCAGACGGTTCTGCGGGCGGCGAACTCGCGCTGGTGCTCGACGTGCAGGTCGGGCTCCACTTTTTCGAGTGCTTCAACGTACTCGTTGCGCATTTGCATTCCGCCACGCGCACGCTGCTCGGCGAGCTGATCTTTCCGCTGTTCGAGCGGCTTGGCGCGCTCACGCACAAGTCGATGCTGCATCGCTTGTACGACTCAGTGCAGGCGCAAGGCCGCGCCAAGGCGCTCCGCGCCGCGCAGAGCTTCGGCTCCGCCGACGATGAGCGCTCTGCACACAGCGCAACCAAGGCGCAAAGCGCGTCCTCAACGCCAAGCGAGAGCGGCCAAAGTGAAGCCGCGCTCGCACCCGAGTGCATCAGCGAGCGCCATGAGCCGCTGCCCGCAGCGCTGCCGAGCCAGCCGAACAGCAGCGAACCGTCTGCTGCCGAACGCCGCGACTTCGCCGAGCAGCACAGCCAGAACGAGTTTCTGTACGGGCTGCTCGCGAAGCCTATGGACACCGCAGAGCAGCTTGTGTCTGACTCTGAACTTGCAAAACTGAAAGTCAAGTTGATGCAGTTCCAGGTCGAAGGCGTGCGCTGGATGCTCAACCAGGAAACCGCGACCGCAGTCAGCAGTCACCTCGTGTGCGACAAATACGAGTTCGCGTGCGGCGCGGTTGAGGTCAACTTCTTCACGCTCGAGATGCAGCCTGCGGCGAACGGCTCGCCGCGCCAACACAGCTTCCGCGGCGGAATCTT